AGTAAACTAGAAAAATGAATAACATTCAGTAAATAAATGAATAACATACAATATGTAAACAAACAAATCATTTATGTTGTTTATTTAAATGACGGAAATTTTGTTATTTCTATCACAAATTTAAAAGAAATTCCGTACGGGTTCTTCAAAGAAATTTTAGAAATTATGGTATCCTTTTTTTCATTATCTGGGTCAAGGGTCCCCGCTTGAAATTTTTCCAAATTAAAATTGTAACATCATAAATATAAAAAAATATATATATATATATAACAACTATTTTTAACAAAGATGAATTTGTTAACTAGCTATTTGGACGCTTCTCAATTACCTAAAATATTTTCAAATATATAAATTATTCCTAATCAATTGCTTTTGTAATATTGTCTCCTTCTAAATTCACTAATGCCCTGGCAATAACATTGTTAGTTCTTTATACATTTTGTAAATTTAAAATCTTCAATCTAAGATAATTTAGAGAAATAGAAAAGAAAATCTCCAATCTGTCACAATTCATGATAAAATTACATGTTACGTTTAATCAATAAATCTTTAGAATACTAATATAAACATGTCACATCCCAAAAAATTCGAGTGTTGTCAGTAGAGAATATTCATAGAAACTTGTATCCCTTAAACCTTAACTTGAGAATTTTCTAATTTTAAATCATGAATGTATTTAAAATGATATTAGATCTTTCCAGTATATATTAAATAAACAAATGTTTTAATACTTTTATAGGAATTTCGACAGAACCTTCTCAACAAATAAGACCTCCCAAAAACTGTTTCAACAAAAAATTCAGCACCACAGCTATAAGGAGCTCTACTCCTACCAATTGATAGACAAATAATAATAATCAAAATGAAGATCCTAACTATTGTCTATGTGGAACACCTAATTATATTTTCAAAATAAAATATATAAACTTTATAATTACATATAAAAAGATAATAATAATTTTCAAATAAATCTCTTTCCAACATAGCTATAGACCCCTCAAAGGTTAGCAGGAGGTACAATGTTAGCTAATAGATTTGAGACCAACAGCAACATATTAGTGAATAATGTCCTAATTGACAGCTGCAGGAATTAATGGAAAGAACATTAATGAGTCAATTATAAACTTCATAGAATAGTCAATTTAAGCAATATAAACGCGTCTCTCATGTATCAGTATTCATGTAATTGTATAAACCATGAATTTATAAATTTTAGAAGAAAAAATATTAGCATTTTAGGTTGCACTTTTAAAATTAAACTTATGCTTTAAACACTGGAGAATTACAGAGCTAATTATAAAAAATCCATGCAAAGCAAAAAGGATTGTTTTCTTTAAAAACAATGAAATTTTAAGGAAAAAAAATTTTAAAGCTCATTCTTTAATAGGACTTTTATCAGAACGATTAACAAACATAGAAACAAAGTCCATAAAAGTAACTAACCAACAAACGAGAATGCACAATCCACGAGGATAAATAACCAAGCATGGCTTGAAGCCATGAAAACAAGCGCAAACATAAAGCTCATAAAATCAAGCGCAAGCACAAGGCCTGCGAAATCAAACATAAGTACTATGATCACAAATAATCATCCCTTCATTCCACGTGCATTGGCTATTGCACGGGGCTAGCACCTCTTAAGCACCATGCTAGCTATATGTACCATGACGCGCTAAGGGCTAATGAAACTACTGTTAGCAATCAGTATTCTGATTCAATCTCATATTTTAAATCAAACATGCGTAGATATAACATAAACAGAATTTCTCTTACTCACATTGATCAACATGACAATTACTTTCAAATATTCCTTTGAAGAAAATAATCCTAAATATTTCTATAAAATTTGTTTATATAAAAAAATTTCCAAATTCAACCATTGATAATAAAATTAAAATCATAAACCATTAAGTAAGATTAAATTAAAAATATTTTATCATTTATTTTTATATATTTTTTTAAAGAATAAAAAAGTTTATATAAATAGAGGAATATGGCATATAAATATGATCAGCAATATTTTCAATAAAATAAATTTAATAATAAACTATTAAGATGTTATTTACTTACCTGAAAAGCTCACAGAATAATAATTTTTTCCTTTTAAACACCTTTCAATTGCATTTTAGGTACTCTATTGCCAAGAACCCTAATGTAGAAACAAAGGAAGGGAGCTAAAATTTATGAACCTACTCTTCAACAGGAACAACGTGAGATTAAGAAAAGCAGAGCAGACCGGTCGTGGAGCAGGGGAAGGAGGAAGAACCAACAAATTGAATCACTTATAGCAATGAAAACAGCATCAGCTTACGGAACAATAACAGCGGCGGACGGATGATGACTCCCACAATTTCCAGCAATAGATGAACGGAGAGGAGGAAGAAGAGACGAAGGCTAAACACTTACACACATATATCATCATCAACCATGAAGACAAAAAGAAACAGGGTAAAAGACTCGACCACTCAACGCTGTAGAAACAAATGAACGATAGAGGACGGGGTAATAGACAAGTCGGCGGCGATGGGAGAAGAATGAAGGGCGACAACGAGGAGCAGAAAGGCGGTGAAGCAAGACTCAATCTCTCTCTCTCTCTCTCTCTTTCTCGCTCTGCTCGGGGAAGTCACCGAATAAAAGAGAAGAACAAAATTAATTAACTAATTAAAAATTGGTTAGGAGAAATTACCAGAAAGCCCATTGGATTTTTTTTTTCAATTTGAGTTACAAAAGGATAGGGGCACTTTGGTAGTTTCCTCATAATTAAAACAAAATAAAATTAACCTTTAACTTAAGCAAAAAATCAAACTTAGACCTTTAGATAAGCTACTAGCTTAAGTTTCACTAAACCACCTCATCTTTCTTGTTATGTTTGTCCCAAAATTAATAAAAATACATTTAAATACCTCACCATAATTTAAATTTAATTAATTTAATTATTTATTACTTTATTTTATTTTATTTTATTTTTTTGAAACTTTAGGTCATTACATAAACAATACCCAAAATTTCCAAATATTCTTATAGGAAATAGACACAACTTTTACTATGACTCCTTCCACTTACCTTGACCTCATCTTTTTCAACCTTTCATCTACCACTTATATATGTCCCAAAAATTACCATAAGAACAAACAAACATGACCCTTGAATTATCAATCAAGTATCTTTTCCAAAATTCCTTGAGTTTATTTCCTAAAATTCCTTTCAAATTTCTCTTCATCCAAATCCTATAAAATTTAAAAAGAAATTTTAATAGCCTTTGTTCAAATCAAACAATTTCGCTTTCAACATTTATATAATCAAAAGCAATTTTAGTAACCCAAAGTTCCTTACTTCACTTTCATTTATATCCTAAGATTTCTATATATTATTTTAGCTATAGGTACTTAGTCCATTAGATTATAATTTCCTCTTAGACCTTCTGTCAAACACCTTATGTGCGTCATTCCCAAACTATTCAATAGAGTTTCTTAACCTCCAATCACTTGCCCAATAATTCTTAGCATTAACATTAAGATTTATATATATATATATATATAATTCATATCCTTCTAGTACTGTAGAATTGGGATTTGGTAGTATGTATTTTGTAGCAATAAAAAAATAAAATACCACTAATCTCAAAGCAAAAATAGAGAGGTGACATTTCTAATATTCAATATCACCGCTTATAAATTATTTTTCTTGTTTCAAATTCTAGTAAATATAAAGAGGTGGCATTTTTTAAATGAAATGCCCTAGCTTCCTGTTATTTAACAAATAAGTGGCATTTCATTAATAAAATGCCACCTCTCTAATTTGTTTTTAATTAAGTATTTTTTATTAGATTATATCTATTTAATGATAATTACATAATAAGTATTAATAATAAATACATATTTTTATTTAATAAATAATTCAGAGATTGTATTTTGTGTTGTGATATGTGGCGTTTTGGAGACCAAGAAATGCCACCTCTTTCATATCTGTTTTAAATAAAATTTAATAATTTTTATTAAAATATAATTAAATAATTATTATTTATTTTGTAATATATAATTATTAAATTATGTTTGATATTTCATATACTATTTTATATTAAATAATTTGAGAGAGGGTACGTTTGAGGACCATGAAATGCCACCTCTCCTAGATCTGTTTTTAATATAACTTAATACTTATTAATAAATTTATTATATATAGTTATTAAATTAAGCTTGATATTCGATTTTGTATTTGATATTAAATAATCTCAGATAGGTGGCGTTTGTAAAACTTGAAAATGTTACATCTCTCAGCTCTGATTTAAATAATGTATAATTAATAAATTATGAATAAATAATTGTTGAATTATGTTTAATAATATGTATAAAATATTTTTAAATAAATATTATTAATTTCATAATATATATTGAAAAAATTATGTATAATTATTAAATTATATATAATATATGTTATTGTAATCTTATTAAATAATTTGAAATAGGTGGCGTCCTAGTTTAAATATAATTAAATTATGATCACTAATTTTGTAATATATAATTATTAAATTATGTGTAATCACTAAGTTATGTTTAAATATTTGATATTGTATTATATCTTAAATAATTCCATATTGGTGGCGTTTGGAGGATTTGGAAACTTCACCTCTCTTGGTTCCATTTTAAAATAAAATTAAATATTTATTATTATTTTTTTAATATATAATTAATAAACTATGTATAATTAATTGTTTAATTATGTTTAATAATATGTACAAAAATTATTACCAAGAATCAATTTCAGCTCAAATAAAATTCCAATCTAAATCCATTATCCTCCTCTTACAGTAACTGGAGTAATCAAGTGAACTTACCCATCAAAGAAATGCTCTTAAAACATACACCTCAACTGGTTTTGGATCCCCACCTCTGCGCATTCACGCACAACAATTAAACAAAGAAAGAAACTCACAATTTCAGCCACCTATCATTCACGCGCACACAAATCCGATGAGGAAAGGAAAAGAGGTAAGATTCAACTCGCCAATAGAACACAGCAGCACGAAGAAGATAAAGAGGGTCGAGGCTTCCCACGGCCAAAATCGAACAGCGGTGACGTAGGAGGACCGGGGAGAAGAGCAGATTGACAGTGACTCAGGGGAAGAGGAAGAAGAGACCGACGCATGAGCAGAGGAAGAATAGTGGAGGAAGAGGCGAAGGGAGAAGAGAATGCCGGCACACTCATGATTATCAACGATGGTAGTGAGAATGAACGGTGGAGAAGGGGATGAGAGGATAAAGCTCTCTCCTTCTCTTGGTCACTGAAATCAATCGACAATGGGGAGGAAAAATAGAGGTCCCAGAAAAATCTGATAGTTTTTTGTTATCATTTGAAAAGAGGGTCATTATGGTAATTTTACAAGGATTAAGAGCAAAATAAAATCCCTCACTTTGCATCAAGAGGATTCTAACTTGGGACCTGATAAATGATTTGCTGCCACACATATTATTAGACCACAATTTCATCTTGTTACATCTACTCCAAAATTTTTAAAATAAATACATTAAAAATGTTATTATTAATGTTAATATAACTATATTTTTAGGGTTATTACATTAACTATGACCCATCTCTTGCAAGAATCCAATGCTCTCAAGCTAGTAGACAAGGTCTTGTTGACCGCAATGCAATATGTCACCATAGCTGTAAAAAGGAAGTAAAAAATAAATGTAAGAAATTTTATGCATGTGTGTGGAAACTAAAATAACAAGTGAAAAAAAATTCAACCTACTTATTAAAAAGATACCTAGCTCGTTACTTAGTTCTCCATTAAGAGAATCAAGATACCAAATTTTTAGAGCAATAGGATTAACATCAATAAGTTTTCAGTGCTAAATTAATAAGAAATAACAAGTGTTATCAAATAACTTCATATAAAAAACATTTTCTTGTCAAAAGTTATATGTGCCAAATTTCCTACTTAAAGAGTCAGCAACGACATTTGCCTTGCGAGGATGGTAAAGAATTATACAATCATAATCCTTAAATAACTCCATTCATCTTTTCTGTCTAAGGTTAAGATCCTGTTTGCTCAAAAATATATTTAAAGCTCTTTTGATCAATAAAAATCTCACAAATCTCACTATATAGGTAATGGTGCCAAAATTTTAATACAAACACAACTACTACCATTTCTAAGTTGTTCATGCTTCTTGAGTTTCCTCAAGGCAAAAGCAGTAACTTGCCCACATTGCATTAAGACACAGCCTAGATCCATGCGAGAAGCATCACAATAAACTAGATATGCCCTAGTGCCTGTGATAGTAGACTTTAAACTAGTGCAAAAGTCAAATACTCCTTTGACGTTTGAAAACTCTCTTCATACTTGTTATCCCATTTAAATTTCACATTCTTCTTAGTTAGTCTTGTGAATAGAGAAGCTATCCTAAAGAAGTTTTTGATGAAATAACGGCAGTATTTAGTGAGGCCCAAGAAGCTTTGAATTTTTGTGACTATTGTGTGTTGCGGTCAATTCTGCATTTCTTCAACTTTGCTTATATCTACTTAGACACCATCTTTAAAAACAACATATCCCAAGAAAATAACTTTATAAAGCTAAAATTCACATTTGGAGAATTTGGCATAAGGTGAAAATATATTTTAGTAGTATATAAATTTCTTCCATATATAAAATTATCCTTTCAGTTAAGAAAGGTTTCTATCATTTTTGTGACGTATAAAAATATACATTTAAAGAACTATGTGATTGTAAATTTAAACATATGATACGTACTAAAAAGGAAACAAAAAGCCTAAATATTACAAGGGAATCTGTCGTCCAATTTACTTTAATTTAATTATATGTAGCTTTTATGGTCTGAATGAAAGAGTAATCTTTTTAATTCTTAGCTTATTATTTCTATTATGAGTGAGGCTTTTGATTGCTTGAATTTAATTATATATGCAGAATATGGATATGGTATGGAGGAATTGTTTCAACTAAAGTAGATGTGTATGGTAATGAAATTATATTATTAGATGTGCCAGGATTGAGCTTAAAGAGTTGGGTGAGTGAGTTAATGCCACATGCAATAGTTCAACTCATGAATTTCAATCTGATAAAAGGAGATAAATGGCATATTGAAAACATTATGCCATCTGCTTCCTCAATTTTTTAATTCGTCATGAATTGTTGCAATAATTCTCCAGAAACACGTGGCAGTATGATAGATGTAGCAACAGCTTTAAACAAGTTCAAGGTCAAGTATATGCAAAGCCAGCAAATCATACGAAAATAAGCATGTTTAATTTTTTATATTACCTAGTTATTAATGACTAGTCATTGAATAGTTTCCAAACATTGAAGATAAAGTATTAGTGTGGTTTGTTGGTCTTTTATGTTGGAAGATTTTTTATCTATATAATGTGGAATAAGGTTTGTTGTTGTTGTAGTATTGTAGAGTTGTATTAATTATTTATTGAGCTCTAAATGGATTGACCCTTTATGACCTTATGTGAATTGTAATAGGTGAACCACACAAGTGAGTCCATTTTGACAAAGGTCCAACCTACAATCCTTTAGAAGTTAGTTTTCTCCCTATAACAAAGCTAACTAATCAAAGAGTGTATATAAAAGAATTAGGGTCTGTTTGGTTTTCTTGCTTTTCGCATTCAGAAAGTAAAATTTTACTTTCAGGAAGTTGAAAGTTGTTTGGGTAAAATATTTTACAGAAAAGCACATTCTGAAAGTACATTCAAACAGTAGTTGAAAATAAGTTTCTAAAACGTAACTATTTGAAGCTTTTAAAAAGTGAATTTAAAAAGTAGAATGTTATTTGACCATACGACCCCAAGTTTAATCTTTTATTCTTTTATTTAAAAAATAGTTAATTCATTAAAAATATAATTATTATTTCAATAATAATAATAATAATTAGGTATCAAGTTTTTAGCATTATAAATTGAATAATTAATCATGTTAATTTTTAGCATTAATGTATAATAAAAATTACAAATCTTTATCACATTTTCTAAAATTACAAATCATCATAAATCAATATCCTTTTTGGTAATTCTACATTCAAAAGCACATTTCACTATCAAAAACCAAACAATTTTCAGTGTACCAAATTGACTTTTGAAAAAATGTATCCAAACATAAATTTCATTACAACAACTGACTTTCACTAAACTGATTTTTACTAAATAAACTTTTACGAAATGAACTTTTAGCAAACTGAAAACCAAACACACACTTAATTGATTAATTAATAATATATATAATTTTGACTTAGTCATGGTGCATTATAAGAGATCATAAGCCATATTAGTAATTATTGATATTGGTTTATACTTTCTCTACTCTTGTAAAGTTAAAGGAGCCTAGTAGGTTGTGAATACCTTTGAAATGGTTGAGATTATCCAACAACTTATAAAATGATCTTCATGGCTATGGATTCTTTAGCTATGCACCAAAACTTAAAATTCCCTTTAAATGAGTTAATTGTTGGATGTTCATGTAAAAAAATGTGAAAATTTATTAACCCAATGTTAGAATTGATTTTACTTCAACTTTGCCAAAATTGGTTAAATTCTTATTAGAATTGAGTGTTGATCGATGAATTGCCAAATAAAGAAATGGATTTTGTGCAGTTTCGAAACCCTTTTCGATTCGTCCTTTCTGGTGTTATATTCTAAAATTTCTTTTCATTTTTTGTTCATCAGAACATTTGAAACTTGTTAGTGATTTCTAATTATATGTATGTGGGTGTTTTCCATTTACACTTTTTAGATCTTGTTTAGTTTTTCTTTGACAACTAGCATCTGTACTTTGTCAATCTCGTGTAATATGTTATCCATGTCTTAATATAATTTTTATTGAGTCAAAGTAGATTGTCGTAGGACGTTTTAGAATAAAATTTGAGATTTTGGTTTCATGATTCATTCGTTAAACGAATTAAACAATCATAGAGAACAATTCCTCATGCTTTTCCAGTCATCGCAATGTGTTTCTGGCTGGAAGCCACCGCTCGGAATATTGGGAAGCACAGGGACACGTTTTCGTTACTCATGTGTATTTTTTTTTTGTAGAAGACAATCATGTTTGAGCCCTAACTCGTGCTAATCAAAGAAGTCTACTTAAATGGAACAACTCGTTTCACTGAAGGCCAAAAATTGCGGTTGAGGGCCAAATTTTTTGGATGTCTCACATCTATGCTTTTTTTATTTTTGATAAAAAGGAAAAATTAATCTTAATTCTTATAATTTTAACTTACTTTAAACTTAGTCTCTCGAATATAACTTTGATGCATTGCAATCCTTGAACAGGAATATATATTTTTTTATAGCACATGTCCTACTTGACTATTTGAGGCACAATTGGTAGGCATATTTCTTAGCAAGGATTTGAATTTTAGTACACTATATTATGAATGACTAGCCTCTTTCATTAGGCTTAATTTCAAAAAATGCTACATAGAGATATGGGTAAGTGTAAAAGGTTTTTTTTTTTGCAATGGTGTATCACCTGGTTTCTGAATTCTAAGGATCCACAACTTTGTTTCTTGGTATGTCAGGGCCCCCAAGCTTTGGTCCAAGCTCTAGTTATTAGGACTCCAGCACCTTATAATGGATCCCTTAAAGTATGAAACTTGAACTAGGCTTCAGCACCTTGGGCTTCCCCCTCAAGAATCAAACCTCCAAAACCTCTTTGGACTCCAAGCACATCACTTTTCTCTTCAACTGGGCCAAGTTCCACGTGTACTCTATCAGATTGTATGGTTGTTTTGAGAAGAAAACTACCATTCAAGTCCTTAATATAAGATAAAGTTAATAAATTTCACGTTTATTAAAAAATATTAGTTATAACCCTAAAATTTTAGGGAGAAAATTGTAACTTTTCAATTTTACCCTTTTTTGTAATTATTAACTACAACAAATTGTTATTGAGGAATTGAAATGACAATAAATAAACAAGGGTAAAAAAAATTAATGTTTCTGATTTCATCTTATATTTAGGACCAAAAAAGCTTTCAAACTTCATCTTATATTAAAGACAAAAAGGAGTATAAATTGATTATAAAAAATTAATTTGGACCATATATATATATATTGATTGGGCAAGTAAGCATTAAAAGAAAAAGAATAAAAAGGAAAGGGAGGGGGGGGGGGGGAGCCAGAAATGTGTCAAAATCAGATGGTGGGGCACTGAATAGTATATGAAATAGCACAAAGCTACAAATTGT